AAAGTGATCGAGCAATCACACCCCTGTGGTGTGACCGCCCTGCCAGCCCGCACCCAATTGGGTGTGTGATAGTTGGGTGGGAAGAGGCCCTACTGACCGAAAAAGCCCCATAGTGTAATGAGGGGTACGGAACCCGGTCCCAAAATGGTTCGGATAGCTATTAGCATCCCGCGCTAGAGGAAGCTATATCCTAGCGTGTGGCTTCCGGTAGTTAAATCTATCTGATCCGGCTATACTGTCTCCATCTTCGTCTCACCATAGCTTGTGGCTATTTATATCTTTCCCAACAAGGAATGACCTCATGACCCTGGAGACTGCGACAGACAGTCGCAAAAGATAGCGGCTCTCAGCCGGACCTATATCGGCATTAGCAAAATTGGTGCTAGTGAATTTGATCAATTGCATATTCCGCATTGAAGCTGATACGGGTTCGTGTCCGCGCCGAAAACGCTCCTACATTCTGACAAGAGTGGTTTCGTGACTAGCAAAAGCCTGACCGGAAAGGAAGGACGTGACAAAACATCCTTAACGCCTAATTCCATAGTCGAGCCATCACGCCTTCCTGATCTATGTTTGTTTTATGTACGAGCCAATGTAGTACTTGTGCGTGTATTTTTTTCATCAGTATTAAGCGGCGTATCTCAACACTTAGCACTCTGTGAATTTCGTCCCCACTTTCAGCACAAATGTCAAAATTGGCACCTTCCCCGTGGCGGGCATTCCCTGTGCACATTTTAGCAAACCAATTTTGTAGCGTGGATTTCCAGTCGAATGAATATAAACCAATCGGCTTTTGTAGCTTACTAGAACAATACTAAGGTCCAAAAACACAACCCGACAACACACAGAAAAATACATCTGGAGCTCTCCAGTCCTACCGTTGAAGAGGTAGGTTTTAAACCCAAAGCAAGTTATCAGCATGGGTAATGCCGCGCCACGCGCGCAGCCACAAAGCGTACTAGACAGCGCGTCACAATACCGCACGTTTTTAATGGATTACACACCGCGCTCAATGGATATGATGTTTGGAAGTTTGATTGGAGACGGTAAGTTTTTGAAGAGTATCTCTTGCAAGTGCGACGAGGGTCATTTGGTCGTAAAAATATATCGCAAATACGACGAGCGGGAGTCTCTCACAAGCGCTGAGGTGGCACTACGTCGCCTTGCGCTCGCTTTTTCGGTGGAACAGCAACCAAACGTCATTCCTTACGCGGACTTTCAGCTTTCTAATAAATACAATGTTGCGTTTATGGTACGCCAATACTTTGCCTCGAATCTGTACGATCGCATCTGCTCCAGACCGTTCCTTACTATGGTAGAGAAAAAATGGATTGCATTTCAGATATTGAGAGCGCTGGAGCAGAGTCATGCAAAAGGAATTTGCCATGGAGATGTCAAGCAGGAAAATGTTATGGTTACAAGCTGGAATTGGGTCTTTCTGACAGACTTTGCACCTTTCAAACCCACCTATATCCCGGAAGATGACCCTGCAGACTATAATTATTACTTTTGTGCAATTGACGCCACCCGTCGTGGGTGTAGTGTAGCACCAGAACGATTTTATGGAAAAGGATACGCGTCTTCTGGTGGATCGTCTGGATCCACCTCCGGCCCTGGAGGTTACAATGCGATCAAAGCACCCGATGCTGCGATTATGCTCTCCAAAATGGCAGATAGTGACGTGAGCGTGGAAGAGGTCGACAAACAGATTCTGGCGATGGGTATGGGAAGTGGAAATATGGCAGGGGTTTCTATGCAAACGTCACCTTCGACTACATCAAATGGTAATGCGCCGTCATCTTATTCTCGTTCGCGTCGTGAAGGAAGTTTGTTGGAATCTATGGATATATTCTCTGCTGGATGCGTGATAGCTGAGCTTTTCTTGGGTGGAAAGCCGCTGTTTGATCTTCCGTCACTTCTGAAGTACCGCCGTACTGGGGATATAGAGACGCTTAAACAGCAGATCAAAAAGGTGGGAGATTGTGACCTTGAAGAAATGCTTTTGCATATGTTGCAGCTAGATCCGAGCGCTCGAAACTCGGCAAGTGGCTATCTTTCTAAATACACAAGTTTGAATGGCTTGTTTCCAACGTATTTTGATAGCTTTCTGTTCCGATTTTTGGTGTTGGTATTAAGTCGGGGGGGGAAGGTGCCAGATGCACGGATTCGTCTTGTTTGTAAGTATTATGGTCGGTTGGTTCGTGAAATTGCGGGCTTGGAAGACCCAGAAGGAGAAGAATTTTTCAAGCTGCGCCTGAAAGAAGGGTACGGCTCCGACCGCCTAGCTACTGCTTCAGGAAGCGTGCAACAAAACCATGTGGCGCAGCGTGTACTCGAAGAATTGTATCAGAAAATTCCGGCTAAGCACGATAAATACACGGCTGAGCGAGACAACGTTGCTGTCACGAAACTTCAAAAGATTAAGGATAAAGAAAATGACATGCGCGGACTTAGTTCCACTATGCAGAAGAAGAAGATTGAAAAACTTCACGATCAATTTAATGCCCTTACGCTAAAAAAAAACAATCTGCTGCTTCTTGATTACGCTCGCATGTCATCGACGATTCCTTCAGATGAAAATTCAGTAGATGATGCCGAACTAAAAGGTGGGGATGAAATGCAAATGAACGGATCTTCAGTCAAAGCGAATATGTCGACACCTCCACCACACTCAAGTAAGACGAGACGGATGAAGCCGCCGACAAATCCTGCGAACGAGCCGTGGCCACATGATCGAAATGGTATAGTGATAGTATTGTCGCTAATTTGCTCCAGTCTTCGGCATGTTCAAGTCCCCGAATCGAAACTTACTGCGTTGTACCTGATCCGAGCGCTGGGTCAGTATACAAGCGACGAAGCTCGACTTCAGCGTTTGATTCCGTATCTTCTTGAAGTAATTGATGATCCAAGTGCGACCGTGCGTGCCTTGGCTCTTCGCACTATCACCTATTTGTTATCGCTAGTGAAATCTTTTCCGCTTGCCGATGCCTCTGTATTTCCTCAATACGTGCTGCCCGCCATGGTGCCATTCCAATCGGATCCAGACGAGTTAGTGCGTATCACATTTGCCGAATGTCTGCCCCAATTAGCAGAGACAAGTCGCCGATTCTTGGAACTAGCACACGCTATGAAACAGAAGACGTCGACATCTTCAAGCTCTGCCGCAACGCTAGCCGGCTTGTCCAACCGTAGCAACGAGACTTCTGCATCAAATACGATGTACATGGCATCTAGCAGTTTTGATAAGGAATTGAGTGTGTTGCATAAGATGATCTCGCGATTTGTGATTCAGCTAACTACACCTGATCAGAAAGCATCATCATCTCTTGTCAAGCGTGCTCTTCTCGTCGATATTACAAGACTTTGTGTGTTTTTCGGCCAAGAACGTACATTGGATGTCGTTTTGCCACAGCTCATCACCTTTTTGAACGATCCCGACTGGGAATTACGTGGTGCATTCTTTGACGCTATCGTTGGAGTGTGTTCTTTTGTGGGGCCCGTGGCTGTCGAGCAAAACATTTTACCTTGTATTGAGCAGGCTCTTTTTGATGTACAGGAGATTGTCATTACGAAAGCAGTAGAATGCCTCACTGGATTATGTCAGCTTGGCCTATTTCAAAAGAAGATCAGCACGTTGGTGGAAAAGGTTCGTATGACATGTTCGCTGCTTTTGCATCCGAGCTGGTGGATTCGCTATGCTGTACTGAAGCTGATGGGAGAAATTGCGTATAAATTACGAAGTGTGGACGCCAACGTTTTCTTAAGTCCGCTTTTACGGCCCTTTTTGCGCAAGATGATGGTATTTTTACCTGGTGAAGACGTAAGTGAAGTCACAAAGCGACTTTGCGATTGTTGCCGGCCTTATGTTTCTCGCGAGACGTTTGATCGTGCGCTTTTGGCGTCCTCATCTTCTTCAGGCCTCGATGACGTGATTGCTGAATTGGAACAATCTATCGCACAAGCCTCCGATGAAAGTGACGACGATGCTTCCCCACCTACGCCTATGACGGTGATGTCGACGACTTCACGTGAGTCATTAAATGAGCCAGTTGATGAGTTGCTTCGACTACGTAAGAACAGAGACGCTCTACTGAGTTCGGAGTCCACAGACGGGTATGGTATGTTACGTCAGCATTCGTCTGGTGCAGCTGTCGCATCTTCTGCTGCGGTGACAACAGAAACTATTCCAACAAACGGAGTGGCTTCCATCTACGATCATCGCAAAAACGAAATCCAGTCTCTTAAGCTTATACAGCAATACGTATCAATTGCCTCAATGCAGATGCGAAGCAAATTGGAATTGGCCAAGACAGAGCAGGCTGCGCGCATGCAAGGATCTTCTAGAAGCGATCGTACTAGCTCACCTCATGGTGCAGTGACTGGTTCTTCTGTAACTATTGGAAGCGGAGCTATTGGTACTACTAGCAATCCATTCGCTCGTAAGCTATCGCGTTCGCATCTTCGTGTACTTTTTGTGCCAGATATGCGGTTTGCACTTTCGACAGCACAACCTTTAAAGGCCTTTAATTTTGGCAATCCAGCGTCCTCGCATGTTACTGCCAGTAGCAATGCTACATCGACAACTGCTACATCAAATTCCACTGCTCTTGTAACCAGATCTCGGTCACATGCAGCCACCAGCTCGCCGTCTCATTTTGTTGGATCGGCAACTTCCGTAGCTTTAAATGGTGGTCATGTACCCTCGTTGGAAAGCCTCTCCTTAACGCATGTGGGCAGAATGTACAGTCTTGTTGAGCCTAGCACACCAATATCCACATCCTCAGTCACTGTATCTGGCCCTTCCTCAATTGGATCCATCTCCTCTTCGATTGACGAGTCTGGACTAAGCCACGTGGATTCCAATCACTTTGCACCTACCAGTGGTGGTGTCATGGTGAGTATGCTTAACATGAATATGCGCGATATGTATGGCGGCGATGCTGTAAATAGCATGTTGGAAACACATCACCACTCAGTCCATGCGTCGCCTGTATCGCCTCCCCGGCAAAGAATGATGAAAAAAGCCCATACAACGTATCACCACTATTTTGCATTCAAGGAGTCAGCAATGGATCCAGCCTTAGGAAATCCTCGCAAATTACTAGCGCGGCTGAACGCGCTGGGCATTCCGCCATTGCCCCCTGATCTTGGTGCCCTGCGGCTTACCGATGGATCACTTTACTCCATTTATAGCCATGCGTCAAGTCCGTATTGTCTGATTGGTAATAGTGGCACTGGCAGCTTTGGTGCTGGAGTAAATGGAGCGCCAGGAAGTGAACGAGGGGGCGCAAGTGTGACTGTTGCGTCGACACCAGGCCAGGGCGGCAATAATATTCATTCTTCTGGCGGTGGAAATACCTTCACCGCAGCGGTAGCAGTTGCTGCAGCCATAAACGGAGGCGTCACACCTGCTAATTTTGGTGGTCCCAGTAGTAGCAACGGTGCAGGAAGTACCTCAGGTGGTGTCAACGGAGCATACAGTGGAAATGGATACCACTCGTTATCGCGCAATTGGCAACCACGTAAAAGTGTCTTAGTCGCGGAACTAGCAGAGCATTCCGGAGCCGTAACTCGCGTAAATGCTGCTCAAGACTACAGTTTTTTAGCATCCGCTTCGAATGATGGGACAGTGAAAATTTGGTCAGTAAGATCCTTACAACACAGTGTCAACCAAGGATCACGGTGCACGTACGATGGACAAGGTGGCGTAATTACCGATATGAAAGTGCTTACTAATAGCCACTCGGTTGCCTCGGCTTCTAGTGATGGAACGGTACACGTTTTTCGCGTGGACAAAGTCAATTCAGTGGGTGGGAATGTACAAGCCACAGGTATCAAAGAATTGCGAGCAAATAAAAGCGCTGTCATGGCAATCGACTACCTGAATAATGTTACGGAGGCTCTGCTGTTGTATGCCACTCGCGACGGCAAGGTCCACGCGTGGGATCTGCGCATGAGGCGTGAGGCTTGGACTCTCAGTATCTCTCCTGAGTTAGGCTACGTTACGTGTATAACGCACTCTCTCGACGTGAGCTGGTTAGCTGTTGGGACGAGTCGAGGCTTCTTGTGCTTGTGGGATCTACGGTTTTTAGTTCTTATACGTATATGGCGGCACTCGTCACACTACGCGATCCACCGGATTCAGCCCTGCTTGGGCTTGCCTAACACGTTACCGCTTGATGAAACGTCAGTGCCGTTGGTCTTTGTGGCTGCAGGTGATGGGGAGGTTGCGGTCTTTGACCTCAGTATTGGCGCATGTCGTGCTGTGTTCCGTACACTGGATGCGCAGGCATCTGAGGCTGAGGCTTGCAAGTGCCCAACACTTTTGCACGTGCCGATTCCGCACCGCAGTCGCAGTGTCCTGGGGAGTTTTTTGGGAATACTTGGTATCACGATGGCCTTCGATGAGATCTCTTCGTCTTCACTAAGTGAAGAGCCTAGTGTCCGAGCGATGTTGTATCCATCTTTGCACGTGCGTGGCATTGGGGATGCGTTAATTACGGGCGGTGAAGATCGACAATTGCGGTACTGGGATATTCGCAACGGAAAGCAGTCGTATACCATCTGTGGCAACGAAGAAGCTAAATCGTTTTACGATATCCAGGCGCCTCCAAGCGATTGGTGGCGCATGAACTCAGGTGCTATCTCTCCATTACGTTATAATGAGATGCCAGCAGCGCCCATGTCGACTACTGCTGCCATTACCAAACCAGAGTTGGCTTGGAGCAAGCTAAGCCCACCTCTTATTACTGTGTGCCAGGATTCATCTTTCTATTCGGGAGCAGCTGCATCAAGTTCTGATGGTGTCGAGTCAGCGATCAGCATGGAGAGAAGAGGTCTCGTTCCCCCGTCTCCGGCACACACTGACTGTATCCTTGATTTAACGCTGGTGGAGTTGGGAACTAGCCAAAATTTAAGCCCCATGCTTGTTTCTAGTGGTCGCGACGCACTTATTAAAGTTTGGAAATAATTCAACAGTATTGAAGTGATCAAAGCAATGGCGTGGCATTAGATAAGAAAGAGCAACGGCACGGTTACTCGAGTTAGTTTACCGCTTTCTGTAGCGCTTGTTGCCTCCTCTTTGCTGACGCTTCATCTTAAGCTGTTTACTAAGCTTGCTAGCGGCAGATCCACCGTTTTTTCCGTCTTCAACACCGCGCTTCTTGTTAGAGACAGCTCCACCCTTCTGAAAAGCACGCGCATCTTTGAGTTTGGAGCGCTTGGACGGCAGCGCTTTGCCTTTGCGTTGCTGCTGAATTCGCTGAAAAAGTGTAAGATATTGTTCCTTGTCACCACCACTTTTCTTTTGTTGAAACGCCGAATGTATTGACTCGTCGGTTTCCTCTTCACAACTATCATCGCTTTCGCTCTGAAGGTTGCCAACCGATGTCGTGACGGTCACAATATCACCAAACTTGCCCTGTGTAAAACTATCGTTGAAGGTTTCAATTTTAGTCACGGCCTTGGCACTGCAGGCGTCATCGCCATCATCCAGATCATCGTTCTCCTCCTCATCCCTCTTCTTATAGTCATCAAGAAGATTTAGTGCCGCCATCATTTCCTTCTGCTCTTCCCTTCGCTGCCTTTTGATCTCCAGCTGCCGCTTCTTGGTCTTGTACGCCTCCATGTCCAAACCAAAACGACGACGCTCCTGTTTTCGCTTGTGGAAACCGGTGAGGTACTCCTTACGTTTATCTGGGTCAAATGTCACCACAAGTTTTGATTTCTTGCGCACTTTCGGATGGTCACCCATTCCACGGGACAGCTTGGCCTTACTGCTCGTTCGCGCCATTAGTGCTGTTGTATATGTGGGGTACGTTATTTGTATGTATGATACACTATATCTGTGGCATGTATTAGATGTGTACACGTATATCAAATATATTCGCATTTTGCTCACGATGAGCGTGGCAATATCAGCGGGGCAGCCAATGCCATTTGTGCTGGTGGATGAAGATGGTGGATTTCAGATAAACCCCGATGCACGCGCCATGCTGGAAAAAGTCAAAACGCGGATCGTTGTCATAGCTGTGGCGGGCCTTTACCGCACGGGCAAAAGTTTCCTACTTAATTTGCTGGTTCAAGGTGTATTGAAGTCGACTACCACGAATTCGAGCCGTGTGGGCTTTGCTGTTGGTGGCACAGTGAATGCATGTACTAAAGGTATCTGGATTTGGGGAGCGCCCATTCCCTTGGATGGTGATACTAGCGTGATATTCCTCGACACCGAAGGACTGGGATCCGTGAATCGCGAGCAAACACACGACACGCGCATATTTGCGCTGGCACTGCTACTCGCATCAAATTTTGTTTACAATAGCCGTGGCGTGATAGATGGTAATGCCATTGAGGATTTGTCTCTTGTAGTAAATTTGTCAAAGCACATTCAAACGTCATCATCGAAGGAGACCTTGGGTAATGCCGATAGACTGCACGAGTATTTCCCAAGCTTCATGTGGATTGTAAGAGATTTTACTCTGCAATTGCTGGATAATGGAAAACCCATTACCTCGAAGCAGTATTTGGAAAATGCGCTGCAGCCGACGGGAGGATACAGTGATGATTCTATAAAAAAAGATCAAATTCGAGCGCTGCTGAGTAGTTTCTTCAGGCATCGCGACTGTGTGACCCTAGTCCGACCTGTGGACGATGAGCAAAAGCTAAGAAATTTACCTCAAGTGGCGTACGATGAGCTGCGTGACGAGTTTCGAAGCAGCTTTGAGAGTCTCCACAAAAGACTTTTTAGCAAGATTCAACCCAAGACTATGTTTGGTAAGCCAATAAACGGAGCAATGTTCGTTAACCTGGCTGGATCGTATGTTGAGGCGCTGAATAGTGGCAAGACACCCGTAATTTCGAGTGCATGGAGTCGCGTAGTACAGGCGCAATGTCATGATGCATTGGAAGAAGCTGTAGAGCGATATAAGGCTGAGTTGCGCGCGCGATTGCGAAGCTATGTATCACCCCAGCAGTATGAGGAAGATGCTGAGTTTGAAGTCGATTGTGAAGTAGAGCAAGACACTGAAAAGAAGGTGATGAGCAGCGGTATGAACAACGCCGTGTTTGATGAGTTCGGAAATCTTCAATTTCTAGCTATGCGCCACGAGTTTGAATCGGATGAATCTACTGAAGCAGATCTAACGGCACTGGAGAATAGACTGATTGCGGTCGTGGGAATAGACGACGTGACGGAAGCTCCTTGCAACGACGTAAGGACTCGCTTGCCGTGCTCTGATGTCAAGCTCAAAAAAGTGCATCGCTTGTGCAAGCGCTTGGCTAAGAAGAAGTTGCGCGAAATCCTCGACGAAGACTTCAGTGTAGAAATTGAATCTGGAAATGATCATGATTACATGACCCAATTTTATGCGAGAGTTAATGCAGAGTTTGAGAAATATCGTCAACAGAACGCGGCTGCATCGATGGCATACTGTCGACATTTGCTGAATGGCGCTTATGATTCAAAATCGAAGCATCTGGTACACTCCGATCAGCTCCAATCAAGGTCAGCTATGGATTTATTTCGTGAGACGCAGGTTTATTTGCAAGAAGAATTAGATGCAATGCACGAAAAGTACATTGCATATGCGGTGGGTCCGTCTGCAGATGCAGCTTATTGCGAGTATATTAGCCAGCGTGTTCTCTCACAGATTATACAACGCACGGAGAGTACCAATGCCGCACACATGGCAGAAGTTCGCGCACTTGAAAAGCAGATGAATGATCTCAGTGTGAAGGTAGCCGTTGCGCATGGACAGGAAGGTGCAATGCAAGAGCTTTCTGCTCAACAGCATGAGAAATGCAAGCTTGGGATAAAGGAGGCCGAACAGCGCTGCGCAGTTGAGCTTGCTGGACTTCGCTCCACATTAGAGTTCAAAACAAACGAGCTGGAGCACATTTTGAATCATAATGCGACTATGAAGCGCCTGGCTGACACAGCACAACAAGGTCAGTATCGTGCAACGGAGTTTGCATCTTCAGCATTTACACAAATTCTGTGTGGTTACCTCATTAAGCAACACATGGCTCCTGGTGCCAATGGCTCAGCACGTGCTAAGTGGCAGCAGCGATACTTTGTTCTTCAAGGTCCACAGCTAAGCTTCTACGACACCAAGGAGGATTACGAGCGCTGCCGCTCTGACAACCCGCTTATGGACGTTACAGGTGCCGTAATTGAAGATAATTTCGCAGTTCCAGAGGCGTTCAGTATTTCTTTTCGTGACGACAAATACTACCCCTTACAATTACACGCAAAGTCCGTTGAAGTCAAGCAGGAGTGGGTGCTTAGTTTGCGAGCAGCTGCCGCTAGATTCGCTACTCAGGACGGATTGCGCAGTCTTGCTACCTCAAGCTCTTCCTCGGACATGTGCAGCTCTGCGGAAGGCAGTCGATACAAGCAAATGTAGTCGGGTCCTTGTTGAGCTTGAAATTCATAATTATAGTAAATACAAGTGCTACGTGAGTTATTTTGCCATTATGTGAGCAAAAACTATGCAGTCGTCCGGTGTCAACTAAAGCTACCAACCTCATCCATGTCTTGTGTGCATAAACCAGCATTTTGATGTCAGATCAATGCAAAATGAAAAGGCTTTCAACTTCGAAGTGGCAATGATCGAAGTAGTTGAAGCGATCGATTTCGTGGATGTTTGCATTGCTCAACGAGGTGTAACAGCTGCGCTCGTAAATCTTATCCAACCATTAAGCGATGCGAGAAGTAGATACGATGACCAGAATTCCAATCGTCGTGATGGAGTCAGATCCTTTCCGGACTCGGTAACACTTACCGCGATTTTTCGAATGGGTATGACTAACAAAGAAGCCTTTCGCGTCAGCCAAACCTCTCTTGAGGACGCGATAGGTATCGCATTGAATGCAGAGTAATCGTCTCGCACCGCGACAATCAGATAAGGTACCGAAACGGAAGCCTGATGAGCGCACATGAAGCAAAAAGACCCTCCCATTCGCTCTCAACTGAGATGTACTAAGGGCTGGACTCCCAAGCAAGGTCGCCCGACAAACCTGTCGCGGGGAAACATCGAATTTTGATGAATCGCTCTGCGCCAATGAATGTCGTACCTAGCTATAAATGGAGCGATTCTCCTTGAGAGAGGCGGGCTCACACTTATTGTTACTACAAACACCTCGGGCATTGGAAGCCGTGGAAAGGCTTGATAGATGAAAAACACGTGCGAATGTCGAATACAGCAGACAGTACGTGGAGTTGGTAATGATTTCAAGTATGGATAGCCATCCATGCATCTTACGACGGGGACATGTGTGAAGCGGCAAAGCTACATGCTGAATTTTCAAGTATATTTGACAGCGTAAACGTTGTCTCGTTCTGGCTCTAGATCCTATGCAGCGGGGCTGCGGTAGCTAAGCACTCGAGGAAGCGTACTTTAGGTCACCGACCAAGTACGAGTTAGCGGATCGAAACCCGCTTACTCCTAGAGTAATTATTGCCTTCCCAAGGCTAATTGACTCTTCGGTTAAATTCAAAACTGACTTTTATTTATTATTTTATCCTCATTTTAAAAATTTAGATTTTTCTAGATATAGAACATTTACAGTGCCAGTCGATTATTGCCTCAACGAGGCTCGTTCGTTAGACACTGCAACTCATTTGTTGGAATTTTAACAACTTCCTTGCTCCGTTAGCCCTGTGTCCACGACACGAAAATCACCAAGTCTCGCTGGTTCTGAGAGCGAGCACGGGCAGAGCCCAACTTCGTCCCCCGCACGCGGTGCAACGTCGGACAGTGCGTCCGGAGCACCGAGGGATGCATATCTTAGGCTTGATGTGCACAAACGTCGCGCTCCGCGCACGCTTTCAGTGCCGAGTGGCCTCGTTGAGGATGTG